TCAGTCAGTCAGTCAGTCAGCTGCAGTCAGTCAGTCAGTCTGTCAGTTAGTCAGTCAGTCAGTCAATCAGTCATTCATTCATTCATTCATTCATTCATTCATTCAGTCTCTCTGTCAGTCTCTCAGTAACTCGTTTCAATCTGTTTTTCCTTTTTTGATCCTTTTTATGTTGTTTATGGAGTTCATTTACTGTTCCTTTTGACACCTTCCAGGCGTCTTTATGCATGTTCCGTTTCGGTTATCATTCATATCTGTATAGATATCGTTCATTTTTGTCAGTGTTGCCTGCAATCTTTGGTAAACGAAATCGTCTTTGAATGGTAAATCACATTCTAAGACTGATTTCCAGTGCAATATACTGATAGTAGTTTTGCAAAAATGATTTTGTATATTCTGGATAAAGAAACGAGAGATTCTGAGTGCCTATAATTATATTAGGAGAATAAAAGTACAACCTATCATTGGTCTAGTAGGACTAATAGCGTCCCATAGCCCCACAGTATTTTTCATGTTTAACAAATTCCTCCCACCCCGAAACTGGCGTTCCCATGGTTTTCAAACTTTAGTTGTTGGTCCAAATGGGTTTTCTCACCGGTTACTGTAGGTGCCACGGGATGCCACGGGATCAGTAACGTGAATTTCGAACCGATCACATCCTATTGGCAAGTGGACGCAAGAAAAAAAGTTTGTGTGTGTGTGTGTGTACGAACACATCGAAAACAGAGGAGGGGGACACAACATGGATTTACCCGATGAGTGTGGTTCACTGGTCACAGTAGCACAGATAATGTGACAAATGCTGCTGTAACGTGCCTATAATTAGGACAGCAGCGCCTCAAAACAACACGTTTCAATACTAAACATTTCAACGAATCGAAGCAGGGTCAAGAACACAAATAGTTATTTCTGTCCACGCAACGCAAGTCAGGCTTCTTCGAATGAATATTCCTTCTAAACACAGAAGTAGATGTGATATTTGAATAGAGAACACAACAGTACGGCGTTGCACAGCTTACTTCGGAAAAAGAATTGCTGTATTTCTTCAGGTGCTTACCACAATCGACAAACAGATTAAAAACTAACGAGGTACAGTTACCGTAGAATGGCTGTCAGTGTTAAATTTGTCCATATTTTGCCAACGCAAATAACTCCTGTTTGCACAGTTCATTTTTCCATCACTTTTTAGCCATCACCCCTGCAAACTAGAGAAACCGAGAGTTTTACTTGAATTCTGTGGTCGCGTCCACTTGATCGCCAGTCTCTAACACGTGATGAGCGATCGATGATGCTTGTGTACGTGTATGTGGCATTGAAGTGACATTTGACCATGATCATTCGGATGTGATACATTCACCAATACATTAACCTATGCAGGAATGTGTTTGGCTACTCTTTATCTAAGCTACCACTCGGTATTGTCTAGTTAGGTGACCGAGCACCCACAGACGAACTGCTACTATCTTCATACTGAGCAGTTTCATTCTTCCGTTCACCTCTGGTTTGGGGCTCCACGAAATTCCCTGCGTGTGACAATGGTCACATACGGGTATTCACTCAGAGGGTGAGCTGATCCAAACGGTGACGCCCAGATTCCTCGGAACAGAGTAAATCCCAGCTTTACCCACCCTTGTGGAACAGTTTGGGCAAACTAGACAGAAAAGATACAGTCATAAACAACAGGTATAAGGGCAGTCTCTATCGGAACACATCAACCCAAATAACTCTCGTGTCTGTGTTATAATTGTACGCTCCTGGTTTGGGAAGAACACAAGTTACAGAACTGGAACGGGCTGACTGTAATTGTGCCAACACGATTTACAGGGTCAACGGGTGAAATACACACAAAAAGATTTCATTCCAGTCAATACTGAGAAGGTCGATAGCGAGGCCAACCACTCACGTGACATCCGATGCGAATGAGCTGCAGAATGACTTGAGATGTCGTCACAGTTTG